CAGTAGTTATCAGACAGAGCTGGCAACCACACGGTTGCGAGTTTGAGTCTTGGTTACATCCTAATGCTGTATATTTGGGCAAAGTACTCAGTACACACAAGTGAAATGGGAACCTGGTATGAAATGTTGGCACCTAACCCATGTGTGCCTGTATGTAAAGGCAGGTCTGGCAAACAAGACTTAGTATAGGTCAACTAACCAAGGTAATAATGTGCACCACTTTTTGATTGGCTTTTGTCTGTCACAAATTCATGGGCTGATTTTTCCAGAACTTCATTCATAGTTGTTACTTGATGGTATACATTTTTTTTTATCAGATTTGACACCAAAAGCAGACAGGCAGAGTAACGATTGTAAATCAAAAACTTATTTAGCAGCAAAGGGTGGATACAATTTTTGTATGAGCAAACCTATTAGTATGTTTTGGAATTACGTGCAACTGAATGCAATTTTTTATGAGTATATTTTTATTATATTATTGATAATTTAAAATAGACTGGTTGATGTATTTGGTATATATTTAAGTACACGTGTCTTTTTGAGAGAAATGTTAATCCTAGAACAACCAACTTGTCAAGTGTGAATGTATATAACATGTCACAAATGAATGAATAGGCTAGTTAACTGGAATGGAACCACCAAGCCAGTTTATTGTGTCCTTGACAACGTTCTGGATGAACCAATTTCAGAGAGAAACCAGTGTAAGAGGAGAAAAATCATGATGCTCATACCTTGTCTATTAACCTCCGCTTCCACTGACAATGCAGATCAAGATCTACAAGGGTGATTTATGGGAAGCTATGTCTAGCAAACCACAGCAGGCCAAATCCGGCCTGGTTTCTCAATGATGACATTGTTAATCAAGTTCTGCTCCAAAATATATGTGCTTACAGGATATCGGAGGCCCAAAAAAAAAGGTTCAGTCCTCTGTGCATCTCTGGTCAGTAATTTAGTGTGAGGCGCACCACAAGGAGCTCTTCATTAACAAATCCACAAGATGATATCCAACAGATATTATGGCACAACTAGTAAAATCCAACAATTGGTTTAGCTTTTGATTGCAAAACTGAGGGTAACCAGAAACAGTAGAGGAGGGCTTTTGTACTCCAGCTTTGGCTTTTTTGGCATCCCTAGACTTCTTCCCAGTGCCGATTCACTTCACCATTTGTGGCCATAACAACAGCTGGCAGTCAAGCCACCCATTTAAGTGACCGAGTCTCTGGCCGAAGTCGCATTTCATGGGTGTATTGTGCCTAACAACCAACCATTTAAAATATACCACATTCCACTGGCACCTTACAGAAATGTGATGCTTATCCTGAAGCTGGCCATACTGCTATATCTTTTCATTCCAGCACGTGTCATAAATGGATACATGT